GGTGAATGGAGATTATGACAGCTATGATTTCCATAGAGAACTTGCCAAACCCTGGGAAAAGCTAATCTGTGTTTGTGACCTTCAAAGCTTTAATAATAAAGAACAGCTGTGAAAAAAACCAATCTGGGCTGCAGACTAAGAAAGAATTATAAACTTTAGAAAAAAATATTTTTGGAACTCTTTGGATTACAAATATCTGTTTAACCGGGACACGAAAGCTATTTGCAGATAAGAAGGAAAACTCCAACTTTTGGGCATCATGGATCAGAGACATGTAGACAGAACACACCAAGAAAACATAAATACCTCTCAGGAGGAGATATATAGTATGCTGCAATTAATTCACAGAACACTGAGTTCAAATCACAAAGAAATCCAAAATAACTTTGAAAATACAAATCAATCTATCTCTAAGTTAACTTTACAACAAAAAAACTTCTAGGAAACAACAACAGAGAAGGAGCAGACAAAACAAATAAGTGGACATAAAATTGAAAATAGAGACTCAAAGACGGAACTTAACAAATTAAGAAAACATGATTTAATCCTAGTGGGGAAAAAATTACAAGAAATGGAAAAAACAACTCATCCCTTAAGACTACAAAATAAATCTGAGGACAAAAAAATAGATTGGATAAAATGGAATGTAGAGATGTTGAAAATGTCCGAGAGAAAGGAAGTAATAAGAGAAGCAAAGAAGGAGAAGAGAAAAACATTTTCAAGAAACATGGAAAGGCAAAACACTTTATTTGATTTACTTCTTATACTTACAGCAACAGTCATGAATATATGGAAAAACTTTTTGATTTAGCAAAACACATTGATCAAGAAAGATACTGGTCAAAGGAAAAAGATCAAAGTGAAAATTATGAAAATAGATGATGGGCTCTACCAGAGAGAATATTTAAAAAAGAAACATTTGTTTGAATATGGTTAAAGAAATAGAAAAGATTCTAAATACATATGTCATTCTAAGAGAGATGAATTCCTTAAATAATATTGTATGCTTTTTTCCCCTTTTTATTTTATTTCTTAATATAAGTAATATAATACCGCTGAAATGGTCTAGATGAAGGAAATGTTTTAGATAATTAAATGTGTCTGAATTTAGGGAAATTATAATGTATAAAAAAGAAAAATGTTTTGAATAAGAGTTAAAGGATTAGATGACTAGTGCACATTAAATAGAATATTTAAAGATTAAATATATTTTTAATCATGGTTAAAAAGAATAAGAAATTTTGGGAATTAATATATATTAGCTTAGGAGGAATATATATTTTAAGTAGTATTTTTTATGTTTCTTTACTCTTGTTTTCTTTTCCTTTTCTTTACTGTTTTTACCTATTCCTTAAGAAATGTAAAAGTGTTGAGATGGTTTATATGGGAAAAATAGATTTAAATCTTTAAATGTAATTAACTGTTGAGAAAATCTTAACCAGCAAGAATACTTTGAACTTTATGGGAAAAACAAATCTAAATAAGGACTGTAACAGGATATAAGATGAGGCAACCAGAATAATTACCTAGAAAAGAACTATTATATTGATGTGATCATTATTTCTAGAAATATTGGGAAAAATCATATATGTAACTGTTATTTGTCAAAATAATAAGAACTGTATTATTTCAAGGTTTGCAAAGAAGACATTTTGGGGAAAAGGGGAAATCAACTAAATGTACTACGTGGATTATGGATTATAGAAACCAATTGTTAATTATTTTTCTTTACAAATGTAAACCCAGCAAACACACTGTTTACCAACTATTAAGTGATTTATGTTTTTAAAAAAATCAATAAGATATATGGAGAAAAAAGAAAGATCAAGGGAAAAGATGGGTGTATGAAAGCTAAAAATGTAAGAGAGAATAATAGAGAACACAATAGAATATATTTATTGCTTACGGAGTTTGGATGTTCTGCCTGGGCAACTCAACTTGCCATTTCCATTACTGTAGGCGTTCAAGTGATTTTTGGAAGTTTCTAAGCTCTTCTAATAAAAGAAAAGGATATGTGTGTGTTATTTGTGATTTTAAAGTATGGCTTTCTTGAGCCTGTGAAATTGTTTCAGTTCCATTTCCTGGAACTTTTCCAGACTATTTCTTAGTTTACTCAGGGTTCCAGTAGGGTAGCTTCCAATTATGCTGGGCTACAATCTCAGAACATTTAGCCTGTATGCTGGTAATTCTGGTAAATTGTGGTCCCAATTACCAGATGCATCCCAGATGCTTTGTTCATTGTCCACAGTGAGAAGAACAGAGAAAGGATTCAAAAGGCTTAGGAGAAATACACAGAAGGAGAATAAAGAAGAAAAATCAGGCTTAGCAAGAGGGGTTGAAAAACGAGACAGACAGTACCAGAAATATAACATATTCCAAAGTAAACATCCATTAATATATCTAAAACGTAATGCAAAGCGTATCACAAGTGAATGGTCTTGGTGCTCTCTGAGTTTGTTTGTTTTCTTACATACATTTCATTACCCAATCAGCTAATATTACGGTGCTACAAGTCTGTGGGGATTCCTCTCATTTTATATACAAGTGCCTTGCTTTATCAGTGTTGGTGGGAATGATTTTGGTAATTCCTTGATTAGGCTGTTGTTTACTGCTTGATTGTTTGTCTGGTTTTATTTATTTGTTTGTATCTGCCTTTATTATTTTTACAAATAAGGTAAGAGGCAAACATATCCAACACACCTCCCTCCTCCCATTGTCCCCACAACAATCCTGTGAGGTGAATTGGGCTGAGACTGACTGGCCCAAGGTCACCCAGCTGGCTTTCATGCCTATTTACTGTTTCCTGCTTGCTAGCCTGTTGCTTTAACCATAAGACCAAACAGGCTTATAGTTCCTTGATTGGGGTATTGGTGACTGCTCAATTGTTGGTCTAGTGTTACTCTTAATTTCTGCTTATCAGGATGTTGATTGCTGGTGAGGAGGTGTTTTGGTTTGTTTGTTTCCTTTTTAGCTTTTTGATTGTCTCTTTTGAATGGTATATAGATGTTATTTATCTCTATGTGACTGTTGATAGCTGATTTGTCTGAGTGCCAGGGTTCCAGGAATTCTCTAACATTTTTTGGATTTAGCTTGGTCTAGGATGCTCACAGTTTCCCAGCTGAAACTATGAATAAGTCCATCCATATATTTTGAAATTAAGAGTTTTCATCTTGTCTTTAGATTGCTAGTTGGTGTTCATGGATGTGCTCTGCTAGTCTTCTGCCTGTTTGTCCTACATAGTGGCTGTTATAATCCTTACACAACCACACGACATCTCCGTAGCACACAAACCAACTCCTAAAGCCCTTCAAACATCTTAACTAAACCAGAAGATGCAGGAGACTTCAACCCTCAGCTACAACTATTCTCTTCTATTTGTATCACAAGTTTATCTCTTTACATAACAAAACTACAAATGTGTATGTAGCAGCCACATACACAAATGAGGCTGCTAGTGCCCACGCAGTGGTGCTACCATGAGTGGGTCAGGGCTCACCAGCTATTCCCGGGGCCTGGTACCAGGCCGCAGACCATAGGTTGGAAACCCCTGCCATGGAGAGATGCTCTTTTCTACTCCAAGATATTGCAAACAGTATTTTACCCTAAACATGTAGTGTGTAACAGTAACATCTGCTTTTCTTTAACAAATTACAAGTACAGGATTAGGATTGGAATTAGAGGTTTAACTGAGGAGGAAAAGGCTATGGTGGCATAGTGGTTAGAATACAGTGCTACAGGCTAGCTCGCTGCTTGCTCCAGGAGTTTGAGTCTCACCGGGTTCAAGGTTGACTCAGCCTTCCATCCTTCCAAGGTGGATAAAATGAGGACCCAGATTGCTGGGGGGCAATATACTGACTGTAAACCGCTCAGAGAGGGCTGGAAAGCACTGTGGAAGCGGTACATAAGTCTAAGTGCTATTGCTATTGCTATTATTTTGCTCTTTGGTTGTAGTTCAAATAAAAGTTCTTAGGTGATTACAAAGTTGGCAGAAAAGTCCCCGCTAGCACTCCTAATTGTTTCAAATTGTTCCAGCTTAGGTGATGAGGGAAATTTCTAGTTTCTTCGGGGTTCTCTTCCTGCGTGCTGTAATCCAAGTACAAACCCTGTCCCCTACATGCTAATAATTCATTAGAACAAAAATGAAGCTACAGCTATGTGCTACATATACAACATGTCCAATATGGTAGCATCAGGAAGACATTTAGGTATGTGCTCCTTATTTATTTGGTGAAGCTTTCAACCTGTGTTTTAGGATTAACAATATCAAAAGCACTAACTATAATCACCATCTGGGTTTAATCTTTATATCTCTGCTACATCAGTGATAGGAAAGGTTGGTGATGACAGTCACACTAGGATTTTCATGGACAACACTCAACAAGGATCACAGCCAACAGCAAGTGTATAGAGCAAAACAGAAGAAGTAGGAATTGATATTAAATTAATAAAATATATGAATATATTAGTGTTGGGCCATAGCCATGACATGTTTCAAGGAGGTATGAAAGATGGATAGGAAATCCTTGATAGATCAGACAGCCCAGTATTTTTTCTTAACTGGTCAATGTTCCCAAACAAAAATATTTTTGGGAGTTTAATTTTATTTAAAGTCCTTCTATAAATCCTTAAATGCATTTCATGGATTCATAGAATCTTAGAATTTAAGAGGCAAAAGTGTTCTTGGACACTGCCTAGTTCAATTCTCTGTCCAGTATAAGAATCCAAGACCTGAGCATCCCTCAAAGTTGGCCATTCGCACTCTCTTTAAATATTTTATTTATTTATTAATTTCACATGCCCTCTGTTTCACTATCTAAAGTTTCAGCAGAGTCCATTATTTTCTGAGGAAGTCTGTTCCATTGTTGAACAACTTTAAGACTTGCAATATTTGTCTGATATTTAACTACAATCTTCACTTCCTTGTAACTGAAACACATGTTTTTTAAACAAAATCTTGTGTTCTGCAACAACTCTGAATAATTCTGCCACATCTTCTAGGGATCAGACCTTTAAATGCTTGAAGACAGCTATTATGCATCCCTGAAATCTTCTCCAAAGGTAAATAAACATAACACCTTCTATGTTTTCTTGTAAATGTTTCCTTTCAGACTCTTTTATCCTTTGGGTACTTCTCTGGACACACTCTCATTTGCTAATGTCTTTGCTAAATGCAGTGCCCAGAATAGGAAACAATATTCTAGGTGTGATTTGATCAGTGCAGAATAAAGGAAATGATAGCTTCTTTTCATTTTGACATGACCATTGTTGATGCAAGCCTAGGTCTGTATTTGCTTTTTATTTTTGGCAGCTGTATTCCATTGTTGGCTCATGTTCAGCTTGTGATCCACTAAGACATGCATATTCCTTTTTCATGTACAGTTATCCAGTATGATTCCCTCAACCTATTATCATGCTTTACCCAAGATAGGACTGTGCATTTATTCCTACAGATATTTATCTTTCCAGCTTGTCAAGATCTCCTGAATTTTGATAATGTATCTGTTTGCCCCAGCACCCCCATCTTTGTGTCATCTGCAAATTTGACACTCATGTGTTCTGATTGCTCATTCAAGTCATTTATAAGGAGTGGAACAGTGCATAGCCTATAAAAAAAGCCCTGTGGTTCTCTACTTGACTTTTTCACCTTGATGTAGAGCCATTGACATACATTCATTCATGGTATGATTGTTCAACCATTTTGTTCAACGATCATTCTGTTCTATATCAATCTAAGGGTAGTACAGGTGGTTCTTGGGTTATGATGTCAATGGGGACATTTTGTTGCTATGCAATGTGGTTGTTAAGCAAAGCATTACATGACTACATCACTTGGTAGTACCTGTTGCTGTTGTTAATCAAGAACTGTACAGAACATTAATGAGGAATGGCAAAAAGTAATTGGACTGGTGGGAAGAGGCAGACAAGCAGGTGAAGAAGTGGTGGGAATAAGATTGATTTGAAATCTCCTGCAGGTTTTTCCATTGACTTTGCTTGTGGAAAGTCAGCATGGAAGGTCACAAATGGTGATCACATGACTGTGGGACACTGCAACCATCAAAACTGCAAGCCAATTGCCAAGTGTCTGAATTGCAATCATGTGGTGGTGGGGACATCATGATGGCTACAGCTCTGAGGATCGGTTGTAACTCATTCAGCACTGTGGTAACTTTGAACGGTTGCTGAAGGAGCGATCATAGCCTGAGGACTATCTGTCTAGTCCAACCCACACTTTGCCATTTGTCTTCCTAGTCTCATAGAAGAATACTCTGCTGAAGTGAAAGTGCACAATGTCCACCTCATTCCTGTGGTCAACTCAACTTATCACACATTACAAAAAAAGATTGGTAGAATTTGCATGATTTATTCTTAATAAACCTATTCTATCTTCAGCCAGGTAATTTTACAAGTGATCACGAACTGTTTTTTAAATTTGTACCAGAAGGTTGCATGATATTGACATTAAGCAGGCAAGTCTATCATTATGCAAGTTTTCTTTTTTCCACTTTTTGGAGACAGGTATGATATTTGTATTTTTCCACTTTTCTGACACTAAACTTATTCTCCAGGAATTCTGAAAGATCACAGAAAGAGACTTTGAGATGACTCTATATTCAGGATATTATATGTTGGTTGACCAGCTAACCTTCCCAGCTCATGTTCCAGTACAATTTCATTGGCCATGGACAGTCGTGTATTGTCATTCCTATTCTATAAGTCTTCTGTTGTAATTTAATATTACTGTGAATTCAAGGGATGATTCTGCACATTTCTATGTGTAACTCCTTAAGGAAATATGTTCAATACTCATGTTTAATACTACATTGTCGCTTCACAGATCCTTGGGGCTTTTCAAATTTAAGTTTATATATGATTAAGGCAGTATTTTTAGTTGTTTGACTCTTCTTTAAAATTTGTAATTCTATCCATCTGGTTTTCATGGTAGATGCTAGACAAATGGTTCTTATAATTTTAGAAATTTTAAATAACTTGGCCATCGGGCCATTTCATGTACTTCAAGCTACTGAAATTAAGCAAGTTTTTCAAGAAGTGGAGTTACTTGCACTCTCATTGTTTCACTTCTTCTGATTGTCTTTTGGAAACATGTAAAATATTTGTTTTGGAATATTTGTGTGTGTGTGTCAACACTGCAATGATCTTGACTGAAGCCATTTTTTCTTCATTTTTGGTTGCCACAGTACTGGGAGGGGGGAATGCATGGTTTTAAGGTTAGATTAAACAATCATTTGTCCCGTGGGAACCAAGGTCATAGCTGCCTGACTTTTGGCGGGCTGAGCCTTCCATTAGAAAGCCCGCCAAAGTATTCTATTGGGGAACATGGATAATGACATAGTGCTGGGGTGGGAAGTTCAACTTTGCAACATTGTAATGCTTGGGAAGGAACTCCAGACTTGGCTTCACTTTTGACTGTGCTGATACTTTGTAGCCAATAAACATGTTCTTTAAGGAAACCTCTTGCCTTGGAGTCTGCTTTTACTGGTCTCATCTATCGGAACCTTGACAGTAAGTTTATGTGAATGGTCTAGGCCAGGGCTCTTCAAACTCGGCCCTTTTATGACTCATGGACAGAATTCTTCAGTCAGGCATGCTGGCTGAGGAATTCTGGGAGTTGAAGTCCATGAGTCATAAAAGGGCCGAGTTGGAAGACCCCTGGTCGAGGCGATGCTGTTTACTCCATAGGTATTTTGTCTCTGTTTTGACTGCTAATGCTATGAATATAGTGAAATGCTGGTGGCTGTTTCCCAACCATTTGTCTCATTTTGTAAAACCCATCTAGTTGGATCTATAAAACATAATTGCTAAAACAATTTGCAAGTTTTATAAAAGAGGTTTCCAAAATATGCCAAACACCTGGATATGGTATGGTAAACTGTAGCTTGTTACATAAAAAGTGATTTGGGTATTATTTAGGAAAGATAAAGAAAAGTGATACATTCTTCTTATTTTTTTGTGCTTAGTATTTTTGCAAAGTATTATTAGTATTAGTATTACTACAAAGCATTGTCATATACCAGTGACTATTGCACCATGCTTTAACTATCAGAATAGTCAAAAATGTGTGGCTTTTTTTTCACAATATTCATTATTCCTTAGATATTCTTAGGTATCCCCATTTATCTTTGCAACTTGAGATACTCTCATCAACCAATTAAGATATATTCCTGAAAATAATTAACTATAACTATTACATAATATCTAAACAGAAAAAGCCAATGTTTTCGCAAAGTTCCACAGATACCAGATTATTAACCAGTAAAATATTAGTGTTATTCTAAATGCATTTATATGCAGAATATTATTCATGATATTTTTAGACCATTTCCACATATTATAGTAAGGGTCTTTGGCGATGATTAAAAGGATTCACCTGCATCTAACAACAATATATGTTCAGTTCCTACTTCCCAAAGTCGATTGGATGACTTATTAAGTTGGTGAAAAATTTCAACAACACATTGAATATTAAAGAAGATAAGGAACATCTTTGATGATTTCCATATAGCATTTTAATTATAAGGGAAATTATTCTATTGGTAATTGTATGAGTAGAGAGATTAACTTAATAAAGCATAAATGCATAAAATAAAATGGGATGAAAATCCATTACTTCCCATTGCTTTTCCCAAAAGCTTACCATTTGTTTTGTTTTCTTTTATTTTCCTTTTTACCTTGTACTATTAACAACAACAACAACAACAATAATAATAATTGTGTACCATGGTATTTATGTAGTGTTAGCTAGAGATTATTAACATTCTGATGTTTAAATAACCCAAACCTTTAAAAATAAAGAAAAAAGAGTCAATATTAACTAAGATTTCTAAATGTTAATGTTGATAAACATAAGTTTGCTTAAATTTTACATCTAAAGCTGAATATGGCATTGAAAAACAACTGCAAAATAAATTAAATCATTTCTATGTAATAAAGGTTCTGTCTTAAGCTTAATCTGTAATACTATATTCTTTATTCTATTGTTACTTATTGTTAGTTACATGTTATTTATATAAACAACAAAGCTCTAAAAAAGCTATTTCATATATAACCCCCATTTCTTGTGTCTCTATTAATTTGCAGTGTTTATAAGCATTTTCAACCCCTTCGGAACATACTATGTTTATGTTTGCCATGCTCCATAATATTATATGTATGGGACATTCTTGCTTGAATTTGGTTCAATTGCTGTTGTAAATATATGCTATTACTTTTGCCAGCACTGCATACAGTCCAACTTTAGATTCCCAATTAGATATCGTCAGAATTGTATCTTTTATCTAATGGGAAAAAATATTTCTGCTGCTGTGAGCAAGTATCTCAGCAAATGATGACATTTTTATTGATATAATCTGGGATTATACCTGGTTAAAAATGCAATTTTATTTCAAATTGAATATCCAAAATTTTCCGCATTGTATTTTGCATGTCTTTCCAGTATGCTTGAAGGTTTTTTATATGCCCAGTAGACATAGTAAAATGTCCCTTCTATGTCATGCCATTTCCAACATTTATTATAAACAGAGGCATAGAATCAAGCTCATGCAAAGTATTAGTACCGCTTTGGAAAACCCAAGTAAGTCCACACCTGGAATAATGCAGCCAATTTTGGTCACCATATCACAAAAAAAGATGTTGAGAGTTTGGAAAAAATTCAGAGAAGAGCAACTAAGATGATCAAAGGCCTGGAGACTAAACCATACGAAGAACGGCTACAGGACTTGGGCTTGGCTAGTTTAAAGAAAAGAAGAAATATGGGTGACATGATAGCAGTATTCCAGTCTTTGAGGGGCTGCCACCAAGAAGAGGGGGTCACGTTATTCTCCAAAGCACCAGAAGGAAGGATGAGAAACAATGGTTGGAAACTGATCAAAGAGAGAAGCAACCTGGAATTAAGGAGAAACTTCCTGACAGTGAGGACAATTAATCAGTGAAACAGCTTACCCCCAGAAATCGTGGGTGCTCCATCATTGGAGATTTTTAAGAAGAGACTAGACAGTCACTTGTCTGAGATGGTATAGGTTCTCCTGCTTGGGCAGGGGGCT